GCCATCCGCCCGGCCCACCGGCGGTTCCTGCGCTTCACCATCAACCAGCACCATTTTCAATTTACGGTCCTGCCCTTCAGCCTAGCAACGGCACCACAGGTGTTCACGAAATGCATGTCCGTGGTAGCAGCCTTTCTTCGGAAGAGAAGGATGCGCGTGTACCCGTACTTGGACGACTGGCTCCTCGCGGGCAGGTCAGAGGCTGAGGTCTGCTCCCACGTGACGCTGGCCTTACAGGTGTTCGGCAGGCTTGGCCTACTGGTCAACGTGCCCAAGTCCACGCTAATTCCCATGCAGAGACTGGACTTCATAGGTGCAGTCCTGGACTCGGTGACGGCGCGGGCAAGTCTTCCAGAGTCGCGGTTCTTGGCCATTCAAGGGGTCGTAAGCTCCGTCCAGCAATTTCCCACGACTGGGGCACATGGCAGCCTGCACACACATAATCAGACATGCCCGCCTAAGGCTCAGGCCATTGCAGTTGTGGCTAGCCCAAACGTATCGCCCCTACAGAGACCCCTTGGACCTGGTGGTGACGATCCCGGCTCGGGTGTTAAGCTCCCTCCGCTGGTGGCTCGATCAACAGCAGGTTTGCGAAGGGATCCCCTTTGCTGCCCCACAACCCACTCTGACGTTAGTAACAGATGCATCAGACCTGGGTTGGGGGGCGCACCTGGGGGAACTGCGGACCGAGGGGTTGTGGTCCAGGGAAGACAGGTTGCTTCACATCAATCTGAAGGAGCTGAGGGCGGTTCGCCTCGCCTGTCAGACCTTCCACGCCACCATGGAAGGTCACAGCGTGTCAGTTCTGACGAACAACACTACTGCCATGTTCTACACAAACAAGCAGGGCGGGTCCTGGTCCTCTCCCCTCTGTCACAAGGCACTCCGCCTATGGGACTTCTGTATAGCCCATTCGGTCCATCTAATCGCAACGTATCTCCCAGGGGTCCAAAACAGGTTAGCAGACCGCCTCAGCCGATCCTACCACATGCACGAATGGGCTTTGAGGCGGGACGTCCTGCATTCAATCTTCCGGAGGTGGGGGTTTCCCCGGGTGGATCTATTCGCCACCAAGGACAACAGACAATGCCCTCAGTTTTGCTCTTTCCAGAACCTCAGCCCGGGGTCATTGGCAGATGCCTTCACGATTCCGTGGGGAGGGAGCCTGAGGTATGCCTTCCCTCCATTCCCGCTCATCCACAAGGTCCTCCTCAAGACCCGCAGGGACAAGGCGACAATCATCCTCATCGCCCCGGCGTGGCCACGACAGCATTGGTTCACGACCCTGCTGGAATTGTCCATAGCCGACCCGATTACCCTCCCCCTCCATCGCGACCTCGTCACCCAGGACAGGTGTGTGTGCCTGCTCCACCCGAACCTACCGTCGCTACATCTCATGGCATGGTATCTCTCTGGCTGAATGATGCGGAACACAGGTGCTCCCACCAGATCCAGCAAATTCTCCTTGGTAGTAGGAAGCCCTCCAGAAGAGCGACCTACCTGGCCAGGTTCCGATCCAGGAAATCTGTAAAGTGGCCATCTGGTCGTCCGTGCATACATTCACAGCCCACTACGCGATCCATCATCAGACCAGAGAGGACGCAGTGGTTGGCAGGACTGTGCTACAATCAGGTATACCTTGACTCCTACCCGCCTCCAATGGTAAGAAGAAGAAAAACGGTTACTTACCTTCTGTAACTGTTGTTCTTCGAGATGTGTTGTTCACGTCCATTACACTTCCCCTCTGTCGGAGTCACCGGCAAGAAGGAACCGAGGGGGTCAGGCCTGCAGGGATATATATACCCTAGAGAGGGGCGCCGCTCTGGCGGGAAGGGGGGCCCTGCTGGCCTGATGGCAGCCGCTAAGGGAAAAAGTTTCCGACGTCCGTGCACGCGGCGCACGCACACCTAATGTGTAATGGACGTGAACAACACATCTCGAAGAACAACAGTTACAGAAGGTAAGTAACCGTTTTTTCTTCCCGGCGATTAGAAGAGCACAGCAGGGTGCGCTGCGCATCAGAGAAGCTTTGAAAACCAGTTTCATGACTGGCCAGGCAACGGAGTGACAGTTCTATTTGTTTCTCCTTGATGAAAACCCACCCCCTTGGTTCACTCTACTTCCCTGTAAGCCAACCATCCTCCTCCCTTCGATCATCGCTTGCAGAGGCAATAAAGTCATTATTGTTTCAAAATCATGCATTCTTTATTAATTCATCACACAAATAGGGGGATAACTGCCAAGGTAGCCCAGGAGGGGTCAGGGAGGAGGGAAGCACTGGGTGGGGTGGTGGAGGAGGGAAGAACAAGGCCAAACTGCACTTCAAAACTTATTGAATGCCAGCCTTCTGTTGCTTGGGCAGTCCTCAGGGGTGGATTGGTTGGGTGCCCGGAGGGCCCCCCCTCTCTCCCACCCCTCCCCCCGCGTTCTTGGGCATCTGGGTGAGGAGGCTATGGAACTTGGGGAGGAGGGCGGGTGGTTACACAGGAGCTGCAGCGGTGGTGTGTGTTCCTGATGCTTTTCCTGCAGCTCCACCAGACGCCAGAGCATATCAGTTTAACCCCCCAGTAGCCTCAGCATTGCATCCTGCCTCCTCTCATCACGTTGCTGCCACCTCTCATCTTGCTCCCACCACCTCTCATCTTTCTCATCCCTCCTATCCTTGCGTTCATTTTCTGCTTTCCTGGACTCTGACATTGTTTGCCTCCACGCATTCCGCTGAACTCTTTCAGTGTGGGAGGACTGCATGAGCTCAGAGAACATTTCCTCGGGAGTGCGTTTTTTTTCACCTTTCTTATCTGCGCTAGCATCTGGGACGGAGATGATAGGGGGAGCATTGAAACATTTGCAGCTGCGGGAGGAAGAAAAGGGAGAGTAGTATTTAAAAAGACACATTTTAGAGAACAATGGGTAGACTCTTTCACGGTGAACCAAGCTGTTAACATTACATAGCATATGTGCTTTCGGTACAAGGTCACATTTTGCCTCTTATATTGAGGGCCTGCCGGTTTGGTGTGAGAGATCACACACGCAGGGCTGGGCAACAGAATTCGGCTTTCAGGCAGCCATGGTAAGCCACAGTCTTTCGGCTTCTTCAACCTTCATAACATGTGGGAATAGTTTCAAACAGCAGCACCCTCCTTTCCCATACCAAGCACCCGTTGGGCTGGCCATTTAAAAGGAGGGGCTGTACTGGCTGCGAATGCATCCCAAGTCTTCAGGGCAAATTAATCATTAAACACACTTGCTTTTCAACCATGCATTGTATTTACAAAGGTGCACTCACCAGACGTGCCTTCTCTGGCTTCATGGTCCGTGAGCCCACCTTGGGAGGGTTGGGAGGATATTGGCTCCAGGGTGATAAACAGTCCCTGGCTGTCAGGGAGAATGGTTTCTCCACTTGCGTGCTGTGCATTATCCTCATCCTCCTCCACCTCCTCATCTTCCCCATCCCCAAAATCCTCATCCCTGTTGCATGAGACTCCCCCCTTGCAAGTGTCCATGGACAGGGCTGGGGTACTGGTAGCCCCCCCGCATCCCCCAGAATGGCATGCAGCTCATCATAGAAGCGGCATGTCTGGGGCTCTGACCTGGAGCGGCCGTTTGCCTCTTTGTTTTTTTGGTAGGCTTGCCTGAGCTGCTTAATATTCGCGCAGCACTGCTGCGGGTCCCTGTTGTAGCCTCTGTCCATCATGCCCTTGGAGATTTTTTTCAAATATTTTGGCATTTCATCTTTTGGAATAGAGTTCTGATATCACGGATTCATCTCCCCAAACAGCGATCAGATCCAATACCTCCCATTTGGTCCGTGCTGGAGCTCTTTTGCGATTCTGGGACTGCATGGTCACCTGTGCTGATGAGCTCGCCACGCTGGACAAACAGGAAATGAAATTCAAAAGTCCCCAGGGCTTTTGCTGTGTACCTGGCTAGTGCATCAGAGTTGAAAGTGCTGTCCAGAGTGGTCACAATGGAGCACTCTGGGATAGCTCCCGGAGGCCAATACCATCGAATTGTGTCCACACTACCCCAAATTCGACCCAGCAAGGTCAATTTCAGCACTAATCCCCTCGTCGGGGAGGAGTACAAAAATCGATTTTAAGAGCCCTTTAAGTCGACAAAAATGGCTTCGTCATGTGGACGGGTGCAGGGTTAAATTGATCTAACACTGCTAAATTCGACCTAAACTTGTAGTGTAGACCAGGGCTAAGAGACGACAAACACAGAATAGGAATACAGGCTCAATTTTCAACATTGTAAAAGGGGGACAGAGAGGTCCCAAGGTTTTGTCCTGTGAGCAGCATTGGCATTGCAAGGACTGGTGTTGACAGAGGCACCTCTGCAACTGAACATGGACAGCACTTGTCATTGTACCTTGCTTTGCTCTGACCTCCCCAGATACAGATCTTCCCAGATCCTAATAGAGTCAAGCTGGAGAATATATAAGCGGTGGGGCTCTTCCATACTCAATCCATGGCATTATGCCAAAAGTAGATTGTGCAGATCTGCCGAACAAGATTGTCCCTTTTCTTGCATGTTTGCATGAATTAGTGGTATTAATATTTGTGTGTATTAATCAGTGGTGATATTTGTGTGCAGTGATCAGTGGTGTTAATATGTCAACATTTTACATTATCATTAGGTTGAAAGCGAAGGCCCCATTGAGATGAATGGGACATTTCACACCTCTTTTACCAGGCAATTTTAATGCAGTTACTAGCAGACATTGAAACATCAGTGTACATCTAGTTTTTGAAGGTTATCTCTGCAACCAGGCAGGCTAGAGAACTGATACTTCTAAAATGACAGCTTGATTTGTGGTCCCCAGGGAAAAGTAATTAGTTCGTTGAGTTGCCATTAGTTGGTCAAACCTGACTCTCCTTCCTGGCTGAGTGCTTTGTAGCTCAGGATGTGGTTCGCAAATATTGTAATCCTCCTGCAATGCCCTCTGTCCATTACTGGTGCCAACTAAAATCAATGATTCTCTTTTCCCTCCTATTCAGATGAATCTGACTATCAGACTGAGTATGAAGAAGAAATTCTAGACAATCAGAAGGACGATTACGCTAATTTCCTAAGCAGCCAGGTGGAAGAGGATTCTGACTCCGTAAGAACTGTGCTCTAGATTAGCTCTGTGTGTCTTTTTGCCGGCCTTTAGTCTGACGAACATGTCAAAGCCAAATGTTTTCCTGCAGACATAGAGCCTTATCTAGGTTAGATGGTGGGATCACAATCTCGTGGGAAGGTGTGAGAAAGGGCAATTGAGAGAAGCAGCCTGTAAGACTGGTGCTGAAAGGAATCTGGTAGAAGAAAATCAGATGGTCTGTAGTGCAGTGCAGGTACTGAGTGCATTCCTAAGCCACGTTCCATCCCTCTCAGGCAGACTGTGTACAGCAGCTGCTCACAGAGCAGCCTATCCAAGCTATTTGATATTTTAGGTTACATGTAACCTACAACCCTGCAAAGTCAAACCTTTCCGTCTTTAGGGAAGATTGTTGGAAGGAACCAAGCCATAAACAGGAGCTTTTGTGTGACTGAAACTTGTCAGCCTCCTTTAAAGGATCCATAATTTAGCAGGGTGTTGACATAAGCTTTGTCCCTTCCTATACGCATAGCGGGGAGAATGCATGTCTCATGGCCAGAGTTCACAGACTGGCATTTAAATAGTTATAATCTATCTCTAAGTTATGATGACCATGACGTTTTTCTGCCCTCCCATCTTGGAGCAAAGCATAAATTGGATCACACAGCTCCACTTAGGTAATGAAAAATTCTACAGCAAATCTGCATCCCTGCTCTCTCTCTCTTACGGGGAGAGTCCTGGCCAGTTTGAAAGAGCTACAAATGCCTGCTAATATTTGGAAAGAACAGTTCTTGGATGGAGCATGTGAACAGGTTTGAGAAACTACACAAATAAGATATACAGGGAAGGACGTGAGGTGACTTCAGTGTTTCCGAGTGAGATAGCAGCAGAGTGTCTCGTAGATCCACACAGATTCATGTTCCTGGATGTATTTAAAATCGTCGTCAGCCAAGCTAATCGTTCTGAGACTGAAGTCTGATATGCAGAAGGCTTCGGGGGAGGAAGGAGAGAGAGGAGTGTCTTTGTTTATCTGGAACAATCTGCTAAATCATTTCAGATCAGATATCTCCTGCTGATGAGTATGTTTGTTTCCTCCTTCAGGATGAAGATGTACAGATAAGAAAACGCATCACCATCCCCAAACAGGAGAGCCGATCCAGCGGCACAGGGGAGCCCAGCTAATCCCTAGGGGAGCTATCAGGACTTGTCTTTCATTTGATCACATAACTGTAGTTTCACTGACAAGAGCCCTTTTTATAAAGAGATTGCCTGGTTGAGATGTTGCAGTTACTCAAACCTCTCAGATCAGGATGGAGGGGCTATTTAACTGTCCTTAGTGAAGCACAAGACTTGCCAGTGCACTACCCACATCTCCATGCCCAGTGAGATCTCATGCCATGGAAATTTGCAATGACTTCGCTCCTTTTTCCAGGTGCCATTGTGGGTTGTGAGTCATTGATCTCTCTGGGGTTTGTATGATGAAGGGGTGTGCTGGGAGTTGTCTGTGGTTAGAAGTATGTTCAGATGCTGCTTTGGCTGTCTGCCACCATGGGTTCTGTTTGCTGTTCTGGCCCAGAAGGCTCAAAAAAATGAACATTGCTGGAAAGTATGTGCACTGCCACTGCTGCGAAGGATAAATACATGAGCATTAGAGTGCAGAGGTGTTTGTCACAGGAGCCAGGCAGCCATGTTGTTAACTCAGCTCTGTATTTATTTTGCAACTGTGTAAGTGGGAGTATTGCTGTGATAGTAGGATAAAGGGTCTCTGTCTGCATTTCGCTTGAAGACTTAACGGGAAATCTAAATGCTACAAGTTAATTACTCTGAATGTTACTCATTTGCTTCAGATACTGTATAATCAAGCCATCTGCAGGAGCATGTAATGATGGTACATTTAGTTGCTATTTGCCAGGCAGTTACAAAGTAGCTACATAGCTGTAGCTACCTTGTGAAACGAAGTGGTAACTGCTGAAATGAAATGCCTGTACGTGGTTGTCAGTGGGTTACAAGATTTTGTCATTAATCAGTAACTGCTTTGTGGGGTGTGATAAAATACCAGGCAGGTTATGTTGAGTCCATAAGAGTTCATGTTTTAAAGGCCTCATTGCCGGCATGCAAAACTTGCCCAACTTTTCAGGAGCTCCACAAAGGCTGCAGCCATCTAAAATGGAGCAGTCCAGGTTCCATTCCCAGCATGGTACGCTCTGTCACGACCCCAGTGGAAGGTATTTGAATGCTGAAGATTTTTGGGAATGCACCAGTAGCCCAAAGATCTTAAGTCACTTCTGCTGAGATCAGAACCTTCCAAGGTGACACTTGTACTTTTGAAGACACCCTCAGTTTATAACCACAGCTGGAGTCCTTATTATATATGTATTTTAAAATAAAATTGCAGCAGAGAAATCGATGCTTGCTGTCGTCACTTACCAGAAGGCTACAGGAGATGTGGATGGCTGCACCAATCCAGTACACGTGGTTATTCACCCATTCAGGGCCCTGCAACATCTAGAAAGTTGGGGCAGCATCCAGGATTGTTATGGATCCGGAGGGCAAGTTGCCTTTGAGCTTTGTACCATCTCTCAAGGAGTTGCATAACTTCTAATATGAGGCTGTCACGGAGTATTGGGGGACTCAGGGCCCTGCACCCCCGGCTTCCTGCGATTCACCATGACTCTCAGCCAGCCAGTAAAGCA